TCCCATTTTCCCCCTTTTCCCCCCAGGATCTGCTGAGTCAGCGCACCTGGAAAACAGGGAATGAGAATTCCCAAATTTCCACACTCCCATCCCGCTTTTTCCCCACTTTTCTCCCATTTTTTACCATTTTTTCCTGGATTTTTCCCTTTTTTTTCCCCTTTTTTCTCCCATTTTTCCCCTTTCTCCCCAGGATCAGCTGACTCAGCACTTCCTGGAAAACCGGGAACGGGAATTCCCAAATTTCCACAATTTTATCCCACTTTTTCCCCACTTTTTTTCCCACTTTTCTCCCGTTTTTTACCATTTTTTCCTGGATTTTTCCCAATTTTCCCATTTTTTCCCATTTTTCCCTCACAATTTTTCCCCTTTTCCCCTTGGATCCGGGAAAAAAGAGGGAAAAAAAGAGAAAAAAATGGGAAAAGGAACGAAACAGGGAAAAATGGGGGGAAAATGGGAAAAACTGGGGATGAAAGCGGGGAAAATGGAAAAAAAAGAGGTGAAAAAGAAGCAAAAAAATAAAAATGGGGAAAAAGGTGGGGAATGGGGAAAAAAGAGGGAAAAATGGAGAAAAAAGAGGGAAAAAGAGGGAAAAATGGGGAAAAGAGGGAAAAAAGAGGGAAAAATGGGGAAAAAGTGTGAAGAATGGGAAAAAGGAGAGAAAAATGGGAAAAAAAGAGAGAAAAATGGAAAAAAGAGGGGAAAATGGGAAAAAAGAGGGAAAAATGGGGAAAAGGAGGGGAAAATGGGAAAAAAGAGGGAAAAAGAGGGAAAAATGGGGAAAAGAGGGAAAAAAGTGGGAAAAATGGGGAAAAAGTGTGAAGAATGGGAAAAAGGAGAGAAAAATGGGGAAAAAAGAGGGAAAAATGGGAAAAAAGAGGGGAAAATGGGAAAAAGGAGAGAAAAATGGGGAAAAAAGAGGGAAAAATGGGAAAAAAGAGGAGAAAATGGGGAAAAAGATGGAAAAATGGGAAAAATGGGGAAAAAAGAGGGAAAAATGGAAAAAAAAGAGAAAAATGGGAAAATGGGGAAAAAAGGGGGAAAAAAAAGAGGGAAAAATGGGAAAAAATAAGGGAAAAGAAGCAGAAAAAAGCGGGAAAACCAGCGGGAATCAGGGTGAAAGTTGGAAAAAACTCCCGAGGCGGGAATTTGGGGAATTCTTTTGGGAATTCTTTTGGGAATTCTTTTGGGAATTCCGGGAGCGGCGGCGCCCACCTGGATGATGCCGGTGCCGACGCGGAAGTTGCTGAAGGATCTCATCACGTCCTGGCTCAGCGCCTCCACCGCGCCCTTCCAGCTCCCGGAAAAACCCCGGATCAGCTGCGTCACCCGCGCTGCCGTCGGCAATTCCCAACAGTCCACA